CCGCCGCTCCTGCGGTGTTACGCCTGCGGGAGCCAGGCTTGTGTGGGGTCCTGCCCCAGGCCCGGTCCGGTTCAGCCCAGCGGGGGCTGGCAGGCCGTTCTCCACCGGGAGGGGGTGGCTCGGGCTTCTCCCCACTGGAGCTGTCTCTTGGGAGCGGCGCCTCAGGGGGCCGGCGGGGAGCTCCCCGCAGCGCTCGGAGTGCGGGGCCGTTGGGGCATGTGGTTGTGTGTATGCTACTTAGGGAACAGCTGTCATCATTCAGTGCTCACCGAGAAACGTTTCATATATATATATATATATATTAAAAATCCAGTTAACTTTGTTTTGGGGAATCAGTATGGTCTTTCAGCTCGTGTTTAAAAAGGTTTCTGATGGACTAGCACAATTCTGCAGCCTTTACTGGAAAAAAAGAACCCCATACAATATGCCTGACTGAATGGTAAATAATGATGTTTCTATCCAGTTCCTTTGTAGACTTGCATTTGTGTTTGTGCTTCAGAAAGCCTGGGTGCACTAGCTGCCTGCTCGCGTTCTGACTCTGTCAAGAGGCTCGCTGCACCGAGACTTACAGGAACATCCTCTTGCAACCTCAGAGTCATGTCAGCAATGTTTATCTCCAGTTGTATCATTTCCTTTTAAATTTATGGCTGCGTTTCAAAAGTTAAGCACTGACCTTGGTTGTTTTCAAAATATGGGCTTAGTTAATCCGTTCTGAATCTGTACAAAATGTCATATTTGTTAGCTGTTCATTTGTGGTTTATCTCACATTTGAGTAAGCTTAGACTGTCTTGTATGTGTTAATAGTAATCCTCATCAGATATTCTTCAAACCGTTAGTGAAGCCAACCCCAGAGGATCTGGAGGCAGATTTTGTTTGTGATTCTGCCACTTAGTTTCTGCTGCAATTTGTGGCATGGCTGTTGTCATATTTATAGCATTAAATCACACATTGTTTGGACACATCATGAGTGTCTGGTTGTCTTCAGGGGCCTTCCCTTTAACTGATAGTGATATCTGGCCATCACTGGATTGAACAAGCTAATCTTATATTTAAATGAAATATTAACAAATGCTGGAAGGGAAGATACCAGAGAAAATAAGAACTAACACAGGGAGGCAGAAGTAGTGGGTTTGGACATAGGTATGCTACCTGCTGTGGGCTTAGCTCTTTCTAGGTGGTGGAAGCAGAGGTAGCAATGGACAAGTCTTGGATAAATTTTCTTTGCAGTCTCATTGGAATAACAATTAGGGATGTGCCGTGCCCTTCTCAAACCACCCTTTTTATGTATGGTTTTCCTTTGTATACTCATATTGGGAACATTCACTTCACTATCTTTGTTTTAAAGTCCAGCTGGTTTTTAGGGCACTGATAGGTAATGCTTGTTTAAATTACTAGGAATTTTCAAAGTCTTATTTTAAAGGTGGAAAATAAATAGGTTAACTTGCTTAATCATTATTACACAGCAAGTTGCCTGAAGAAGTCTTCATGTGTTGTTTTGCTTTGTCCTTGGACTGTACTCATGCCCAATGCATCAGGATAAACGTTGAAAAGTGTGCCGATAGTGATTAAATGCTGCAAAAGTGATTAAATGCTCAGAAAAAAACTGTCATAAAGAGTTGAGCATATTTCAAAGACAGTGAGATCACTTAATTATGTTCGTACCCTCTTGGAGACAAAATATTAGGTACTAGAAGACTCTTCAGCTAAGCTAAAAGAGGCATAGCAAGAATCAAGGCTAAGGACTTCAGCTAAACAAACATTGGTCAGAGAGGAAAGAGCTGTGGTTTCTTTTGTCTTTTTTTTTGTTTTTTAAGTGAAAGTAATTAGCTGTGGGAACGAATGACCCTGAGGAACAGGAGATTTTTCATGTTCAAATGAAGTCCAGGTGCCTTTCTGGAAGATAGATGCTAATCGAACTCAAGTCAATGAGCTTGACTGTGTAACAAGGGTTATGAAATTATATAGCAGATCAGGACAGATTGTATGATGACTCTATATCGGCATAGGTTATCTGACTTTTTCTGAACTGAAAATCCCCATAGCTCCTCACTAATCAAGATTACATTGCAAGTGAAATGCTAATAGAAGAAAAATTCAATCATATCTTAAGCTTTAGCTTCTGCAGAAAGATGAAAAAAGGACTGAAAAGTAAATGGTCTAAGCCTTCATCAAGTGCTAACAGGACTGGTAATTTATACCAGCTAAGAAGCTAGGCTTACACGCAATGTGATTTATTAAATGCCATAGCTACTTGTAGCCCTTGACAGAATTCATTAGCTAATATGATCTACTCAAAGATGTAATTCATCTGGAGATACTCACTGGCAAATTGTAGATAGAATTTTAACTCCATTGGCAACAGCACAAATAGCCGACAGATTTCCTCACCAGCAGCTTTCTGTGCTATATATTAAGGTGATAAGGCAAGGGTATGTCAAAGGCTACAAGAAAGCAAGGACATGCCAACACATGTAATGGTAGTAGAGAGGGTGTGTGAGGAGATTAGTCAGAAATCAGGATGAGAGAGAAGCATGAAAACAGAAGAGAAGAGAAGGAAAGGATGAAGGCTAGGCAGTCTCTAGAGACCGGTGAGATGAAAAGCGCTCTTATGATAGGACCTCTGGCAGGGCACTACACTAGCTTCTAAGGAACCAGAGAATTACCAGACTTAAAAAACTGGAAACTAGAACCTTGTTTTTCATTCTGTTTTTTTCAAAAGTTGAGCCTTACTAATTTGGAAAAGAGAACAATTATACATAATATATATATTCAAGAT